TTAATTTGCACTAAAATAATTAAATATAATTAAACAAAAATTACATCAATAAATAGCAAAACTCAAGCCAAACGAGTAACTTTTAGAGATGATTCACTCAACTGATTCTTGATGCAATAATAAATTCAATCATTCATTGAATGATTAGTTATAGTTATCAACAAGTTCTGACAGTCAAATTTTCCTTTGTTGGTATTTAAGGTATGATCATTAATTATTTCTTTAATCAAGAGATAACTTTAAGTATGACTATAGGATTCAAGCTCTCAATTGCAGTAAAAACTAGAAAAGCCCATTTTTAACTAACAAACATGGTATTAAGGTTTACTTAGATTAGATCATATGTTTTCTTGACACAAAATCAATCATACTCACCACGAGGATTGAAATAATTCAACTATTTTAATCGGTAGTAGATTATCTAGTTCAATCAAATATTGGGCCTTGATATTCAACTAAACATAACGATCATAAAAAATTGATCCGAAAAACACACAAATACCAATGAATAAAAGAAACAATAAAAATTAATTGGATCTCACAATTGCTTGTAGAGCCAAGTCTTCAAGTTATCCCTTAACTAGAAATAGAGTTTAATTACTCATGGAGATAACCCAAGCAAAAATATGAATAACTGCTAAAGTCATAAGCCAAAGGAGAACCAAGCCCCGTTGTCATGTTAGGGAGAAAGAAAATAAAACAATTGAACCCTAATTCTAAATTTCTCCTATTTTTCATAGTTGTCAAAACATATCCAAGTTCCCTTAAGAAAAGAAAATAAAAATAGAAACAAAAGAAGACTAAAGTGTCCTAATACTAGAAGGAAGTCTTCACGTCTAGAAAGGAATCTCGCTTCTGCCATAAATCCAAATTGAAATCGGAAACGTCAACGTGTCAAAAATTCTGAGCTTTCCAAACTTCAAAGAAACCTTTAGACGTGCCCACACCTAATTGGGTCGAGGTCTTCTGGAAAAACACCATTTTGACTCCTTTTTGCTCCCAATTACTACAATTGTCATCAAATGCAAAATTTAAATACTCCCTCCCTTTTTTTTATAACTGACGTTTAAGGTTTTGCACATCAATTAAAAAAAGTTTTTTATTATTTAAATCTATACACTACTTTCCTTTTGTACCCTCATTAATTATCCAATTCACCCATATTTTCTTTCACTAGAGTATTAAATGGTGCTGTTTTACTAGGCCAAAAGCAATGCAAACTAACTCTCACCAATTATGAAAAGAGAGATAAAAGGGTAAAATTATGAAAAAATAATTAATGCTGCATGGGGATAATAAAACGACATATAAAAGTACTTAAGAGCAAATTTCTTAAACGTCAGTTATAAAAAAAGGGAGGGAGTAGAATCTAGTAATTAATACAATATTTGACCAAGATAACAAGAAAATATTCACAAATTTAAGTACCTTTATGTACCCTATCAATCTTCCTCACACTTAAATTATATTTGTCTTCAAGCACATCATAGCTGAAAAGTACAATCAAGAGTACAAACATTTTGCAATATAATATACCTTCCCAACAACTTTATCAAAATCTAGATGTACAAGATCCAACTATCCTCACAAGGATTTTAACAAATGCACTCATCAGTCTCAAAGATGTACAGGGTATAATTCAACTCTCAAATCAACACTCCGGAGTGACATTATCACATGCTTGCTTTTATATCACATATCTGCCACCCACCTAAATTCAATGCAAAAATCTAAAAGATTTTAACAAGGTTGTAATGGGGCTTTGAGCAAGGGGTCGGATAAAAAGCAAATTTAGGTGCAATACAAGAATGAGAATGCTAAAGATTCACTACATGGATTCAACTACCAGTTTTACACAAATTCACACTCCCAAGGCACATCGATACTTTCCATAAAACTTCACAAGTGCCGGCATATTCTAGGGCATTCATCAATGATCACAGTATGCCAATTATGCCCAAAAACACTTTACAACATGCATCTATTTTCTTTTCAGATTTTTCTCAACTTTTTCTCTTTTTTTCTTTCTTGTCTTTGTTTTTTTTTTCCTTTTCCATTTTCACCTTTTTTCACTTTTCCAACAAATATAAACACCTTTAAATCAATTTTCAATTACCAACACTTGCTAGCTTCAATTCATCTTGCAAAAACATATCAAATCCAAGATAGCCTAAGCAATAAGGTTTCGGGTACAATTATGGCTATTAAACAAAGAAAGGGTTAAAGGTGGCTCATTAATGGTAAACAAAATAAAGGTGGGATTTTAAGAAAGTCAAAAAGGGTTAATCCTATATGTTCTTGTCATTTTAATGCATCACATTCACACAAAATGTGATTTCGACAGGTATAACAAATCAAGTTCTAGAATGACAAAATCAAGTGTGACAACCATTCAACAAAAAAAAATAGAGCAACTTTGAATGAAATGCTCAGAAATAGGCTCAAAATCTCACAAAATGGTTAAAAATATGTCAAATTCAACACATTTATCATTCAAATCCCTCATCAAGAAAATGAGATACCTAACAAGCATAATTACACTACTCATGCATGCATCTTGATTGCATTCATCATAGCCATAAAGAAAAAACTAGCAACAAAAGAAAATATGAGCAAAGTAAAACCTATGTATCTAGCATAGCCCCTTCCCCACAGTCCCCAATTTACAAAATAAAAAACAAAAAATGGAGAAAGGAGACAAAGAAACTTTCCTGAACAAGGAGGAGGGTAGCACACAGCAAAGGATTGAGCGCAAATGGCAGGATGAATCCAATGGAATGAAAGCAAGTAGCCAAGTTCTTTAATCACTTTAGACACAGGCATGCCTAAAACATGAAAAGCTTTCTGGTCAAAGATGTCAGCATCGTCAAACTGCAGAGTGACTCAAAGGTATGGACACGTGCTGTTGACCTCTTAGTCTTCTGGAAATTTGAGCATGCCATGAAAACTCAACAATCAGTTGGGCACGGCATGCCTTGTCTAATATTAGTCATCTATCCAACAAACAATAAAGTTAATCAAAACACACATAAAACAAGAAACATTAAAATCTAAGACTAAAATAACAACAAAAATTAAGATTAAAATAAACTAAAAATAAATTAAATTATCTCCCAATAATTAGCTTCTTTCTTTAATGTCGTTGGCTAAGTATGACCATATTTGCTTAAGGAGAATGAAAATTTTCAACTTTTTCTAATACTTCTTTCATGTGTTCCTGATAGCCTTCATAAATGGAATAATCTTTAATCATATGAGCCACTACGTTCCCTCAACTAAGGGACGGTGAAAAGCAAGCAGGCAATGACGTTAATTCCTCAATTAACTCTACATCATTAGCAATTACTGACTCAAGAGGTTTGGTCTCTATATCTCCTAACTTATTTTTGTAATTTAGTTCAAAAACTTCCAACACCATACGGTTAGTTACATTGATAGCAAATAATGAATTAGATTCAGAAGGGTCCTTCATGGCATTAAAAATATTAAAATGAACAGCCTCTTCACCAAATTCTACTGTTAAAGTTCCCTTACTAACATTAATTTTAGTTTGTGCAGTACTAAAAAATGACCTACTTAACAAAATAGATAATGGATTTGGAGAGTTTTCATCATTCATATCAAGGATATACATGTTAGCCGGAAATACTAATTTATTAACTTGAATTAAGACATCTTCAATAAACCCATCAGGATAAACATTAGTACGATCAATTAATTCAATAATAATCCCAAATTCTTTCAATGGTTCTAGATTTAACGAAGCATATATAGTTTTGGGCATCACATTAATAGAGGTCCCTAAATTTAGTATGGCATTTCTTATTATAGTATTTTCTATCTTTCAAGGGATAGTAAACATACCTAGATCCTCGCACTTAGATGGAAGATTTCTTTGCAATATTGCCGACACACTCTCTCCGACCACAATTCTCTTATCTCCCCTTAACTTCCTTTTGTTACCGCACAAATCCTTCAAAAATTTGGCATACTTGGATACTTGCTTGATTGCATCCAACAAAGGGATGCTTATCTCCACCTTACAAAATAGTTTCAAAATTTCCTTTTCCTTATCTTGCTTCTTTGGCTTTTCTAACCTGTTAGGAAAAGGTGGTAGATTAGAATTAACTTTAATCACAGGATTAGAAATTACCTTCAATTCTGCATCACTCCTCCCTTCGTCTTCAATTTCTTTCTCAATTTGATCCTCACTCTTATCCTTTGGAATAACCACTTTGGGTCCTTCAATCTCCTTGCCACTCTTGAGGGTCATAGCACTCACATTCTTTGGATTCAACTTAGGTTGTACTAGTAATCTTCCTTTTTTGGCTTCCAAGCAGTTGACTACAATGGCCAATTGACTCACTTGATTCTCCAAATTCTATATGCTCGACCTCATTTCTTGTTGAAAATGCACAGTATTAGAAGCCAACGTTTTAACAATGTCCTCCAAAGATGAACTTGAGTTAAAGGAGGAAGGTTAAGGCTTAGGTGGGTATTGTGACTAAAACCCTTGCTGTCTACTTTTAAAGAAATTCTGCTACCTGTTCCCTTTATGGTTAAGGTTTAGATAATCCCTCCAAATCAGATTATAGGTATTGGAGTAAGGATCATATTGCCTTGGTGGCATACTTGGAAATCCTCCAATTGTGTTTACCTGTTTATTCAAATCATCTTGAAGTATGGGGCACATATCACTTGGATGACTCAAGGCATAGCAAATTTCACAAGTTTTGGTCTGTTGCATATTTCCTACAGCCAACTGTTGAACTAAAGAGGTTAGTTCATATAATTGTTGTTCAATAGATGTAGCAGTTATGTCATTTACTTGACCAGTTAGGACATCATTATGAGTACCAAATTATTGTGAATTTTCTGTCATTCTCTCAATCAATTCCCATGCCTCTCTAGGAGTTTTGTTCACCAATGCAGTATCAATAATGTTCCTGTCTATTAGACGAAGACCTTCATAAAAATACTAGATTAGTAACTGGTCACTAATTTGATGTTATGGACATCTTGTACACAGGTTCTTAAACCTCCCCCATTATTCATATAAGGACTCACCATGTAGCTGTTTGATAGCACAAATTTATTTCCTTAAACTAGCAGCTTTAGACGTAGGAATATATTTCTCCAAAAATTTCTTCTTCATTTCAATTCATGTTGTAATACTTCCTGCAAGCAGGTAGTATAATCAGTCCTTTGCTGCACCTTTTAAGGAAAATAGGATGATTCTCATCTTAATTTGCTTCTTGGTAACCTCAGGAGGCTTCATACTTGAACAAACTACATGGAGTTCCTTCAAGTGTTTATGCGGTTCCTCACCTGAAAGACTATGAAAAGAAGGTGGCAGATATATCAGTCCAGATTTAATTCAAAAGCAGTGTTTTCAACTAAAGTGAGAAAAGTAATGTAGAGTGGCTGTTGGTTCAAATAAGGAGCAGCCAAATCCTTTAGTGTTTTGTTATTTGTCATGGTATCTTCTTCTTTTTTCAGAATCACTAGAGTAGTCACTCAAAAAATCCACCAATTCGATGGCCAAATTCAACTCGAGAGATGCAGTAAATGATTGCTCTTTCTTACGTTTCTTGGTTTCACTCCTTAACCTACACGCGGTCTTCCCAATTTCAAAATCAAAGATTAACTCGCATGTACGAGAAGAACGAGACATAAACTAGCAAAAAAATTAGAAAATAAAATAAAAGAAAAACTCAAAAAGAAACAAATAAACCAAAACATCATTCCCCCGACAACGACGCCAAAAATTGACAGGTGTCAAATCTATTCAATAATAAATTTTACTCAAGAAAATATAAATTTGCATATAGTAGTGAACAGGATAATCTACACAAGGATTGAGGAAATTTGTTTCTTTTAGAGCAGAATTTAATGGAGGATTTTGAATAATTAAAATAGATAATTAATTTGCACTAAAATAACCTAAAATTAAATCAATAAATAACAAAGCTTTAGTCAAAATAGTAACTTTTAGAGATGGTTCACACAACTGATCCTTGATGCAATAATAAATTCAATTATTCATTGATAAATTAGTTATAGCTATCAATAAACTCTAACATGTTACGAGGGTTTATTTAGATTAGATCGTATATTTTCTTGATACAAACCCAATCATGTCAGTCACCACAAGGATTAAACTAGCCAAATAATTGCGAATTCAACTATTTTGATCGATAGTAGATTATATAGTTCAATCAAATATCGGACCCTTAATATTCAACTAAACATAGCAATCATAAGAAATTTACTCCAAAATGCACAAATACCAATGAATAAAAGAAAAAATAAAATTTAATTCGAACTCACAGTTGCTTGTAAAACCAAGTCTTCAAGCTATCTCTTGACTAGAAATAGAGTTTAGTCGCTCCGCATGGAAATAACCCAAGAAAAAATATGAATAAATGCCAAAGTCATATACCAAAGGAGAAGCAAGAGTCCTTGTCTTGCTAGGGTGAAAGAAAAAAACAACTAAACCCTAATTCTAATTTCTCCTTTTTTTTGTAGTTGTCATAATATCCAAGTTCCCCTAAGAAAAGCAAATAAAAATAGAAACAAAAGAAGACTAATAGTGTCCTAATATGAATAGGAAGTCTTCACATCTGGAAAGGAATCTCGCTTTAGCTAGAAATCCAAATTGAAATTGGAAACGTCAACGCATGTCCGATCATCGAAGACACCTTTAGACGTGCTCATGCCTTACCAGGTAGAAGTCTCCTGGAAAAACACTATTTTGGCTCTTTTTTGCTCTCAATTCCTACAATTGTAATCTAACAATTAACGCAATATTTGGTCAAGATAACAAGAAAATATTTACAAATTTAAGCACCATTATGCACCCTGTAATTCGTTAAAAATAGAACCAGATCCGAAACCGCTGGTTCCGGTCCAATTAGAACCGTTAAAAAAAAAAAAAAGAGATAATAGATAAGGTCAAAGTCAAAGTCCAAGTCTGACTTGAACTTGGACAATTGGATGGATACTTGAATTTGGAGACTTGAAGTAGCCATTGCTGGCTTGCTGCTACTTAATGTCTTAAAGGATAAAGCCGTTGGTTTAATCTGCAGTGGTTATTTTAATATAGCCGTTTGCTTTCGCAACAGCTATATTAAAATAGCTCTATTAAAATAGCTGTTGCGAAAGCAACGGCTTCCTATTTTTTTCAAGTTTTTTTGCCTATAAATGGTTTTCTAAATTTCATTTTCTCCCACACCAAAATTTTATCTTCTCTCTTTCATCTTTAATACTCTCAATTTTTTGATCTACTGTCTAATTTCTCCAACTTTGTTCTTTTTTGCTCACTCTCAATTTGTCTATATTATATTTTTTACTTAATTCATCTAATATCTAAAATTATAGGTATTGGATTATTACTTGCAAACTTTTTTTTTTTTTACTTATTTGCTATCAAATGACAAGTTATTGTGGTGGTAGCTCATCTTCAAAATCAACAAAGGCAAAAAAATTTGTTGCAATGTTGATGATGTTGATATTCCAACTCAAGAAAGTCAACACATGGAGATATTTTTTAAGAGCAAAAAATTGAGACCAGCGGACGAAGTGGTAATTTGTCAAACTTGATGAAACTAAAACTAAATGCAATTATTGTCAAAAATGTTACCAGTACAAAACGGGAGATGGCTATGGAAAGTATCAAAAGCATATGAAAAAGCGTCATCCTCAAGAATATGGCATCGACAAAAAACAATCACAAATTACCGAGTTTGCTCCTTCTAACCTTTCTTTATTTCAATATACTGAGGAAAGAGATACGAATGACATAGCAAAAATGGTAGCTATTGAAATTTATCCTTTGGTTTTGGTGAAAAGTTGGGTTTCAAGAAATATTATCAAGACATTTTGAATCCTCAATTTAAATCTGTTCCTAGAACCACTCTTAGACAAACACTTAAAAATATTTATAATGAAGCAAAAAAAGAATTAATTCAATTATTTGCAAATTTACATAGTCGTGTCTCGATATGTTCTGATATTTGGAGTGATCATTAGCAAAGACATTTTTATATGGCCATAACTTGTCATTGAATTGATAATGAGTGAAATATGCAAACAAGAATGATAGCTTTACATATTTTTGATGACTCTCACGCTGCTCTAAATATTTTTAAAATGATTAGTACTATTTTGGAAGAGTATGGTTATGTGAAAAAAAATTTCAATTGGTTTTGATAATGCATCTGCAAATACTGCTTCCATTAGAGAGTTACAAGATCTTTGTCGACCTGGATTCGGTGGTAAATTTTTTTCATATTAGATGTGCATGTCATATTTTAAATTTAGCCACAGAAGATGGTTTAAAAGTGCTTGAAAATCATATTAAACCTATTAAAAAAGCATTTTCTTATTTGTGGGCACACCCTAAACTAATGAAAGAATGGAACACTTTTTGTAGGACTAATGGAAAAAATTCTAAAAGATTTTCAAGAGATGTTCCTACTTGCTGGAATTCAATATTTGAATTACTCAACCAATCTTATAAATATAGTGAATTATTATGTGCATTTTTTGCAACTAGCATGATTGATATAATGTTGCATAAAAATAATTGGATTGTTTGCAATAAAATTTTATAAGTTATAACAGTTTTTAATGATACTACTTATACTTTGTTTAGTGTATATTATCCTACTGCTCATTTATTTCTTACCGAGACATGTAACATTGTTGGTTGTTTAACTGAATCTAAAAATGTAACATTGTAACAACCTATTATGGACATGTTTAGGAAATAGTTTGGTTGCTTCGGTTTTTGATCCTCATGTTAGATTAGATGGTTTGCATGAGTACTCGTCATCATATTATGAACAAATATATGGCGGTGATAATTATACTTATGATGTTAATAAAATGGTATTTGAAGTTAAAGAACTTATTTGTTTTTTATATAATGAATTTTTTATTACTTATGGTGATCGATTTCCTACTAGTATTTTGGATGAACCCTCCATTAACACTGGTAATAGTCCTAAAGTGACTGTTAAACTCGGTGATAAATTACTTTTTCAAAGACCAAAGTGACAAAAGTGTTCACTTAATATTAGGAGTGGGCATGGGTCGGGTACCCATCCCATCCACCATTTGACTGACCCGATCCGCACCTTGTGGGTCAGCTATTTTCTAATCTTTACCCCTCCTCGCATATTAGCAGGTACTCGGTTATAGGTTACTCGTTGAGATAGGATAGGGTCAACAGGTACCTGCCTTGTCCCATTTATCATTTAATTTTTAAAAAAATAAGTTATACTAATTTAATTTTATATTTTACACATTCATCTAAGATTTAATAAAGATTTTTTTTTTCAAAAAAAGTCTCCCACCAATAAACAAGCATACAAAAAGATTACAAGATAAAGGAAAAATATTAAAAGAATTCAAAATCAATAAAAGTTTGAAATAAGTAACACATTTTGTTAAATATATGTTTCATATTAATTAAACTCTTTTCTATAAAATATAAGATCATGACCTCTACAAACGAATCTTGTAACTAAACTATAGTCTCTCATATTTCTAATGCAATTTGTTCAATGAAATTACTTATTTAACTCCAAATTATTATTTTATAATATGTGTATAAAAAATTATATATATATATATATATATATATATATATATATATATATATATGTGTGTGTGTGTGTGTGTGTGTGTGCGCGCGCACGCGCGCGCAATGCTGGTCAAGTCGGGTCGGGTACCCCATGGATTTTTAATTATTGGATCCTAACCCGCCCCACATCTTAGCGGATATCCGATCCTCTTTTGATCCGATCAAATAATACAAATCGAATATGGTGGATTTTCGAATTAGCAAATAATTTTGCCCACCCTACTTAATAGTAGTACAGAAATCGAGTCATATCTAACTACCAAGTTTGAGCAAGATGATAGCAATTTCACTAAGCATTTTTAAGTTCTCGGAGAATTATTCTATCCTCTCCCTTATTGCTAAGCAAATTCTAGCAACTCTAGCATCAATACTAGCAGTGGAACAGGCTTTTAGTGCCAGTGGAAGTATTTTGGATGAGATAAGATCAAGATTAAGTCTCGAATCACAAGAAATTCAAGCACGCGTGGGTAATTGGACTAAAGCAGAATATAGACAACAAGATATGGAAAAAGATGAAGAGGAAGAATTAAATTTACTTTAAGTAATCAGCGGCTAGGAGGGTTTGATCATAAGTAAAAGACTTCCCAACTACTCGTAAGCTGGAGGAATTGTTGAAAGACGAAGCTCGGGTAGGACGGGACGTGAAGTTAAAGGAAGAAGATGATGATAATGATGCTGACGAAACATCACTTGGGGTTCTAAGAGCACTCAGCCTGAGCCGGTTCGTGCGAAGAGTGGATGTGACTAGCCTTTTCCCAATTATCACGTACCACAGCCATCCTTGATTAGTGCTATAGTACTTCTGCTCGGAACAAGGCTCTTTAGAACCATTTTGCAGTCATTATGATGATGGCATGATCCAATTCTGATATCCCACGAAATTACTAGTGCTATATTAAAACGTTAGTGTAAATCTATTGATAAACACCCAGAAGGTGAGGAGATGAAAATGGATGTTCTTTTCCTTATCTGCATTTCAACACATACATCTTCGACTAATCAGTTGACCTGGTTTCTCGCTATAAAAAATAAAAAGAGACTTGGCTTCAGGCCAACCTGTACTCTAATGTATTAGTGAAAGAATCATGGCCAAACATAAGAGTAATTTGCCAGCATCTATCTTTAAATGCTCCTAAGTGCTTTCAAAGTTATTTAACTTGTATAGCATTCGCCTTCCTCAAACACCGTTGTTGTACTTTTTTTTTTTTATAATATCTGATGTACAGGAACAAAATTTATGCATACAACAAGATAATATAGAAATACAACCATACAAAACAACCCAACCTGCCCATTCCCCGAAAATTAGTCATTAGTGCTTAAAAGTTACAGCTACAACACTTATGCTGGGAGATTATTTTTGAAAAAAAAAAGAGCCAACCTTCAAAACGGAAGCATTGCTCTGCTTATTCCAACACGATTCTGATGCTGAAGATGGATGAATAATGCTGTTTTCTTCATCAAAACTAGTATTGGAGGACAAAGAAGAACTCTCATCATTATCATTGAGAAGGTAGCAGAAAATCCTTAACTTCTTATTCCTAAATCCCTAAATTCGACCGGAATACATTTTCGGAAAATTGACACCAGTTAATTTATATACGGGGAAATTATACCATCCTCTTTGGGGGTTTCATACTGATAATTGTAATTCAATAAATTCTTGATATATCATTCAATAATTCAACTTTCTAAAATCATTAAGAGTTGATATTTCTTTTTGACAAATTGAACGATAAATTAATACTAATCATCAGTATGGTATGAAAAAAGGTGCTCCAGAACTCCCTTACTTCTTATTCTTTCATTGATGATGATGACTTGCGATGATGATGACGGAGAAAAATGAAGGGCTGGCCTTTCATTGATGAAGCGGGACGGTAAACAGATTTGGGCAGGAAGAAATTTTGACATAGACCCAACTATCAGCGAAGCCCATTTAGCAAAAGTTTTTGTGGTTTTGGTGATAAAAACTTTGCATATTGTGGGACAAGACAAATTCTTGAGCAACCAAAACAAGCGGAAAGTAACCACTGAGTTTAGTTCAGTAGCTACTTGGTAGGGACTTAAGTGGGAAGCTTCACCTGTAGCAAAAAAAATCTAAGGGAGGTGTCATAGCGGAAACTTTGCATATTGTGGGACAAGACAAATTCTTGAGCAACCAAAACAAGCGGAAAGTAACCACTGAGTTTAGCTCAGTAGCCACTAGGGAGAGACTTAAGTAGGAAGCTTCACCTATAGCAAAAAAAAATCTAAAGAAGGTGTCATAGCACCCTTTGGTGGTCTAGTCAGGTTTACACACTTACTAGTCCCTGATACACAAATCTCCTTAGGCTGTCCCTCCCTGTAGATTATGATAGAATAGATTATACAACTGTTATCGTTACCGGAAAAAAAAAAAACGTAAAGTCAATTACGGTTGAGGAATAAGTATCCACTAAGGACAAAGTTGATATTTCAAACAATTAATTGTTTACGTGGCAAGTGTTGATTGGCTTCTGACCCAATAGTAGGACCCAACGGACTATATAACTAATATATGAAGTATAATTGGGGTTCTTAACTTTAATTGAGAATTAATTTTCATTTCTAGAATTTCTTTCAAAAATTCTTCTCTTATTTTCCTCTCTAATGTGAAAATCGAAGGGTGCCAATTGAGTGTTAAATTTCTTGGACACTTAAGCCTCGAGAAGTTCTTTAATTTGCCATGTCAACTCTCCCCAAGATTATGCCCATAAAAAAACTTAATTTTTTTTTAAGAATTTAATAAGCTGGATTTGGAGGGTGATGTATAATAATTTGGACCTTCTCATTGAGTGACACATCATCCATTTCATGAAATGCAGGGTGAGATGTTTGCTTACTCGAATTTTTGCACAAAATTGCTTAGGTTTGACATTAATTATTTTGATTCCAATTTCAATAGAACAAGATAACTATTTTGGACATATATTTATTTGTGAAAAGAAAATAAATTTCTTAATATACAGTTAGATAATTATGACTTTCTTTCTTCTTTTATTTTTTTGTTTTTGGGGATATCTATACATACTTGGATGATATATTGACTGATATATTTATTGTCTACGTATACTTCATATCATGCAGACTTCAAAATTTGAGAAAAGACATCAGCCCCCAAGTCCTCCTTCCAGTAATTATACAACTACAAAGACAAACCCGATACAGTTTCAAAGATGTGGGATTGTGGAAGAAACAACAAACAGCCGTATTAAATAGGATAAACGTCTGAAAGGATCTGTTTATTGAGAAAGCCAGATTGTGGACATTACGAGTTGTGGAGACAGGGTGGATGCACTTCCTGCCTTGGTTTCATGAACTATCTGGCACGTTGAAATTGTCCCAGGTTCTTTTGGCTTATCATTTAGCAGATGCAATGTGTTCTAGTTCATCCACAACTTCTTTCATTGGTGGTCTTGCTTTAGGCTCAGGAGCAAGACATCTCAGAGTGAGCTGAGCCATTTTCACTGCAGCTTTTATTGGGTATTTGCCTTCCAACCGAGAATCCATTATGCTCGTTATCTTTCTTTTGTCCGATAAATGAAGCATGATCCAATCAACCAAGTTGTGTTTCCCCTGCTGACGATTAAGGTCCAGAGCCCTTAAACCTGTTAGCACTTCGGCCATTACAACACCAAAACCAAACACATCGCTCTTCACATACAAGTGCCCTGTTACATAAGAATTCTGCGTCATTATGACTTTTGACCTTTCGATTGGCATCTTGCTCAGACTTGATTTAAGCCAAACTAATCAAAACTATAGCTTCTACTAATGTACTGCCATGATCTCAAGCAAGAATCTTGAAAGATCTATGTATGATTACCTGTTGCCACGTATTCGGGAGCAGCATAGCCATAGGTCCCCATAACACGTGTTGTCACATGTGATTGACCATCCGAAGGACCCATCTTTGCAAATCCAAAATCTGATAGTTTGGCATTGTAATACTGAAAACAAAATGATTAATCGACGTTACGAGCAATGAGGCTTCTCAAGGTATCATCTAAACACCAGCACTTTCTTTGCCTAACTTGGTTGTAAAATGCTTTGAGGATATTGAGTATAATCAGAAACCTACAAGCTTTAGTAAATCAACTATAGAAAGAACTTCTCACATCCAATAACCTTGCATTGGTCAAATATAGGACAACTGATGAAGTATCTTAATCTAACTTACACCATCAAGTAGTATGTCTGAGGCCTTGAAATCTCTGTAGATAACTTGTTTCTTTAATGCGTGCAAAAATGCTAGAGCTCGAGCTGCCCCAATTAAGATCTTAAGCCGTAATTCCCATTGAAGTGGTTGAACAGAAGAGCCCCCTAAAGACAAAAAAGCACCAGGAAACAAATTTTGTACTGGCATCATTACCTTAGACGATGCTAATATCTCTGAACTTCAGTTAAAGGGTAGTAAACATCTCACTTCCAAAGAGGTGGTTGCCAAAGCTGCCCCTTGGCATGTACTCATAGACAAGGAGCAGCTTCTCATCTTCCCAGCAGTAACCAAGGAGCTTAATAAGGTTGGGATGAGAAAGCGTTCCAAGCATGCGTATCTCAGTCTGCATAAAGAAATTTGAAAGAAACTTTTGAAGCAACACAGGAAATGAGGAAATCTTCAAAATCAACACAGAAGGCGAACAAAATCTCTTCATGTATCATAAGAGTAATTGATGTATATCTCCAACAACGTCAAACATCTTTCTAGTTTCCTCTTTTGAGTAGAAAAAGTAGAAGAAGATATTAACAAACACTTTCTTCAGAAAAAACTCAACAGCCAATCCGTTAACATTATTAACATAAATTGTTATGCAACTTTGCTCCACTTATTGGAACTTAATCATGCAATTTTCAAATATTCATTCTTCATACTTAATATTGTAGTTTCTTTGCCACCAATAAATATCACCTAGACCTGAATTCACTAGCTGTTCTTTACACTACACTCCCCCTTGGGCAGTGGAAAGGGTCATGCAAAGGAAACTAATGTCAATTTTGATTCTTTCCATGCTGTGAGTATACGTCCATGACAACCATAACTGGCATCACCAAAATATACATAACCTAGGCCAAATTCTGAGTGGGTCTGGTGCATTGGACTGTCCTTGTATAATTGCTAGTATAAGCTCTCAAATCATCAAGATGAATGATTTCTTTTCTGAAATTTGTTGCAGGCAACTTGGTTGATTTAACAAAACTGCCTTAGACAAACAACTGATACTTTTTCTTTTCTGTTTTTCACAAGGAAATGAAACGGTGAAGGAAAGACCAGTAATGAATTATTTCATGAGAGATGGCATCACAAAAAGTGCAAGCTTTATTCCAGCCTATTATGTACCAGTATTTTATGTGCCAAGATGATTGATTCAGATAAGAACATTTTGCAAGAAGGAAGAAGAAAGCAATCACCAACTAAACCCAAAAAGATTAAAAGTCCAGTTAGTTACACGTTTAGTGTATCACCTGCCACTCAGCAAATCCTTGAAGACTTTCAGGATTCATCTTTTTAACTGCAATCACTGATCGAGCACCGCCCTTTGATGTGGACTTATCATCAATCAAACCTTTGTATACTCTTCCAAATCCACCTTCTCCCAGCACACTATCACTTCTGAAATTTTTAGTTGCATCTACGAGTTCTCGGAAAGTGTAAACTCTTAAATTGTTGAGGTTGATGTCCCAAAATGCTGTATTAGCAGATCCCTGTGATGTACCTGCCCAAAAAGCACTTGTAATTGACCTTTGTCATCGTTCAATGACTTCATACTTAAAAAATTGGGGGGTAGGTGGAAGAGGAGGGAGGGAATGAATCTTGTTGTGGTTATGTTTTATATATGATGCAATCTGATTCAAAGAAGTTAAAAGAATATAAGGTAGTCTCTAATTATCCCCAGACAAGGCAAGCACTTGGAACAGGAGGGACTTGAGAGGAAAATAAAATAAGAAAAAAGGAATTCTTCAGCAAAATAAGAAACAACCAATTCTTTCAGAAATATAGTTGTGCCAAAGATCATAAATTTGACCAAAGGAACTATGTCAAACATGATGGGACATGTCTCATCCCAAAAAAGCTTAGAGTTGGCAAAAAGTTCAACTTATGTTGAAAGAATTTCAGCAAACACAGACAACCTCAGCAAATATGTTAATGCAGAAATATAACAACCTAACGATTCCAGTTTGAATTAACAAGTATCAATTGTCCAAGCAGAAAGCAGCAGGAAGTACAACCAAATTCAGGCCTGCTCAGAGACGAGTTCAGGCTCTAGTTTTAGAGAACCTACCTACTCCAGTCATTCCCTCAGTTGCTCTTGTCTTTGCCACTGTGCCAAGTACACCATCAGGCCATGGGCTTTCACAAGTAGAGAACATTACCGACTTAGGGTCTTCCAAAGCTTCAAGTATACGTGGCATTACAGGCCGCTTAGAAGGCTTGGGATTTAAGCAAGCCTTTGCAATGATAGCAACTGCCCACAATTCAATCAACTGATCCTCATCCACTTCTAAAGATGGATCCACAATGTTCACAAAGAGTTCCTTGTCATAAGTACTGATGTAAGGCAAAATGTCTTCCATCCCAGCATTGATGCTCAAATCATTGTGATCACCAAAACCGGGATAACCCGTGACTAGTTCAAGCAAAACCTTTCCAAAGCAATAAACATCATAGGCATACGTTGCATTCAATGAACCTGGTCATTTAAGTTAAGATTTAGACTAAAGGAATGGTCAAGTTTGCATTTTCTAATCTTGTTTAATCTTTAAAAGCCTTTCTTTTTTTTTTACCAAACAAGTAGCTGGTCTTAAGCAAATGAAGAATTTTGAACCAAATAATAATAAAGCTGACTGGTGATTGTGCTGTGTTAAGGATACCCAGTCTCTCAAAGTTTTATACTTTTTTGCTATTCCAATTGTTCTTTTTTCTTTACGGTTTCAACTTTCAAGCAGCTGTTCACGGTTCAGATTTAGGGTCCACCGCTTTTCTATTCTTCTTCCCTTCTGAATATGGCGTGTAAAACGTAAGATTGAAGTGAAAATCAGAAGCTTATCTACCATTTCTAGATAGTGCAAAGAAACAAAAAAAAAAATTGGAAGAACAAACGAACCGTTTCTGCAATAAATTTCATATACCTGCATCGCCTCCTTCAGAAGCCCTGAGTATAAAGGAAAAGGAGTATTATCAAAAATCTCAAATAATTGACATTAGATAAGAATTGCAGTTGCAACTCTGCAGATGATAAGGCATGATAGATTTGATTAACTAAATACTGTGGTATGCCTAAACAAGAGAATCCGGCTATAATAAAGTAACATCTTTATCTTCTTTCTCAGATTAAATACATCAATCACTAACGTCAACCCTGGTACAGAATTTATGTGCGCGTTGTTATTTCTTTTATGAGTTCAAAGAGATAAATTACAATGTCAAGGCTTCAGCCTCTGCAAGAAAATCCTCTGATGCTTGTAGTCAAAGTTTTCTCAATTACTATTACTCCATTGATGATTTGCTTCTTGTACTGTAAATATTTTCATTCCAAGGATCCACTTGATTATGTTGTTAAACTCTTAAGAAGACTGAAACATGGCCAAATTGACGTTGCATAATATTAACCACTAAACACTGTAATGGGATAGAATGAAGAAGCATCACAGGAATATCAAATACTTAGAAATATCACACGTCACAAAATACTTACTTTGACAACCGTAATAACCTTGAAATCCTGTTCTGATTTTTCTCTTTTTTCTCAGTAGAGACCTCAGTAAGCCTCCCTATCCGTGCTTCAAAGCTTTCATCAATAAGTATGCTGCGAGCTTCAAAATTTCTGTAACGATTATATCAAAATCATGCCAACTGACAAGTGAAGCCCATAATGGAATGCTCACATGAGGGGAAAAAAAGGAATGAAAAGAAAAAGGACAAGCATTGCTCCAACACTATTATGCGATTCACGTACAACAAGATTCCAAAACCAAAACTGGAGAGCCATCACTTTACCATCAGGTGAAGTGCGCTGAGGTATTACCGGCCAGTTAGAACCTTCAATGCTTTTTGTCCTCCAAATTTGCATTTTATAGGTAAGGCAATATTGCCTAGAATAAATAATATGCCAACAAGCAAGATTCTTGGGTTTACCTATGAACAAGGGGTGGAAGACATTCATGATGCAGATAACACAAACCCTGTGCAGCTCCAGTCGCAATCTTCAACCTCGTAGCCCAACTTAATGATGTCGATTTTTGACAATCAACTTTAATGCCATCCGGGGCAATTCCCCTATTACTCAAACAACTGGACAAGTCCTTGTTAAGCATGTATTTGTAAACCAGAAACGTGTTATTCCCATTCTCAAAGCAATGCCCCAGAAAAGGAACAAATCTAGCATGAGAAACCTTGCCAAGAATTTCCAATTCATTTACCAAGTATGAACCCACTGACAGATCAACCTTTTTAACAACCACCTGAAGCCCACCTTCTAAAACACCATGAAAGAGATCCCCAGAGCGGCCATGCTTGATGAAATTCGATTTACTGAAGTAATCGGTGGCTAAGAGGATTTGATCATAAGTAAAAGATTTCCCAACTGCTGGTAATCTGGAGGAATTGTTGAAAGACGAAACTTTGGTAGAAGAGGAAGCGAAGTTAAAGGAGGAAGATGATGATAATGATGCTGAAGAAACATCACTTGGGGTCCTAAGAGCACTTAGCCGGAGCTCCTCTCTGCGAATAGTGGCGCTGACTAGCCTTTCCCAATTGTCGTACACTGCTGACATTCTTCATCAATAGTTTACTACTAAGGTACACGATTTTTCGAGTATCATTAATGTTATAAACATTAGTACGATATAATCAAACTCTGATATTCTGATTCCATTACATACTCGTATATACAACTGAATTACTAGTACCATATCAGAAACTACTAGTCTATATAACTAAGGATGGCAACCGCCCGCCGGCGAGGGGAGGGGGTCCGCCTCACTGCCGACTAATCTCGCTCCCGCCCCGCCCCGCGAGGCTAATAATAATTTTTTTATAATTAAAATTTTAACAAATTATTAAGTACTAAAATATCAATATATCACTAAATTATTATTTATTATAATTTCACAATTAAAACTCATAAAAATAATTAAACAAAAATTATTTGAATATAATTTAACATGATGAAATAAATACAACTAAAGTGATCACATTTTCACATTTGGCACAAATACAATCACTAATTTATTATTGTGCTTGTACTTTTTTTTTTAAAAAAAATATTATTATATTAAGTGTAATTAATAAATTTAGTATAAATATATTAATAAATTTAATATAAATAATTAATAATTTTTATTAATAGACATATATAATTACTAGTATAATTGATAATATCAATTATATTACATATACTAATATATATTATATAGGGTAAACAACAAAAAAGTCCCCTGTGATTAAGCAATCATACATAAAAGCCCCCTGTGGTTTCATATTATACCAGTCAATACCCCGTGGTTTGAATTAACCTGAAAAGTGGACAGAAATCGTCAAATTTTCGGCGCGTGTCTTAAACGAACTGCAAAGGCGCATGCATATGCGGAAAACAGATTTCCACCACAAACTTTCACTTGATAAGCCTACTTTACCCTTCACTCTTTAATAATAAGAGACCAGCTTCCAAGTCTTCCGAGTCTTCATGTTCGGCCAAAATTGAAGATTGAAGGCAGCATTCGAAGCCTGTGCAAGTAATCAATCAAGCAGAGCTTGCAGGCTAGCAAAGGAATTGCAGGAAACAAAGCCTTAATGTAAAAATGTGAACTGTATCTGTATATATTCGGTCTGCAAATTCTGAAGGAAAAGTGCAGAAAGTACCCCAAGATGTCTTCCTCAAGCTCTCGACCAACAAGTGGGGGAAATGGAGGCAGAGGTCTTCGATACTAGTCTTGGCTATATAAACTGACCAGTCTTGGCAGAGGTCTTCCCCAAGTGGTCATTGGAGGCAGTCATATATATATGGCCACAGTTGCATGTAAACTCTAGTTCAATTCAAAGCATTGCCTTTTATAATTGCAAAATAAAAAAAAATGTCAAAATTGAAAGCAAATATTCCTGGCAATATAAATCGTTTAATGCAAAGCTGATAATTCAACAAATAGCTGACGTTTATTTAATAGATTCTAACATCTTATTCAATATACAAGTTCATTTGTCCTTCTGGCCACCACGTAAACCCGAGAAATATCCTCGAGGATTTGCCTTAAATCCGGCTCTTGAAATGTTTGAGCCACCACCACCAGGCGTTTTCATATATCCACCGCCAGCACCAACACTGTCGCTGCCTTTAGACGAACCACCGCCACCGGAGCTTCCTTTCCCTCCTCCGTTGCCTCCATTGCCTTTGGCTTCTCCTCCAGAACTCCCACCTTGACCCATTTTGAAGTTGCTCTTTAGCTAACAAGTTTGAAACAATTCATATGCTAGTATAGCACTAAGCTGCTCGTGGGTGGATCATTATGCCAAGACTGGTCAGTTTATATAGGCAAAGGCTCTCGACCAACACTCCCATTTTTTCTTTGATTTTTTACTGCAAATCTTAACTTCCTTGTATTCTCCGTCGATCTTGATATTTGATTGAAATAACAATCAAAAATTTTGCTAAAAATTGGCTAGAAAAGGGGCTGCTCTATCTCTCTCTAGGGTTTTCTATTTCTTTCTCTCTCTCTTCGTTGGTTTCGATAGAATGAAAGTGCAAAATTACTTCTGCAATTTTCGCTTATATCAAAAGGGTATTTTCGTCTATTCACTCAGCTCCGTCTGTTTTGACGATTTCCGTCCACTTTTCAGGTTAATTCAAATCACGGGGTATCGACTGGTATGATATGAAACCACAGGGAGCTTTTATGTATGATTGCTTAACCACAAGGGGCTTTTTTGTTGTTTACCCTATTATATAATATATATAACTAATAATATTATTATCAGAAGTTTATAACTGATTAAATTAAATATTATATATAATTATGTATATATATATTTATTTATTTTTTTTTAGCCGACGGCAGCCGCCCCAACCCCGTTTTAAATGGAGGGAAAAAATTCCCCTCCATCCCAACCTCTGCCCCATTAGCCCCTGTGCGGACACCCGTTCCTATTGCCTTCCCTACTCTACGATGGATGGTGAAGAGGGGGAAATGGATGCTCTTTTTCTTCGTCTCGTGGATTTCATCGGTTGACTTGGCTGACTTTGGTCCGTGGCTTAAGAAACGAAAAACTTAGGGGTGCTTGTTTCACGCTCTGGAATTGGAATTGGAGATGGAATAATATACAAAAAATCAGTATGGGTTTTGAACCCTGGTATCATTCCACAGACCGATGCTTGGTACAAGCATAGTTGGAATGACATCAAAATTAATTTTTCTTTTTTTTTTTAATTATTGTTCTCATCTCGCACAGCTTTATACGAAACTTGCTTAGATTCCTCATCCACCTCAGACATCTTCCTCCCAACAAACCTCTTCACAGAGAAAAACTTGTTTTCAAGATTCACCACAGCCTGCCTTTTTGCAATCTGCCCAACCAATCTATCCCCGTTTTTGGTATAGGCCACCACAGAAGGCATCGTTCTTTGCCCTTCAGCATTAGTAACTATAGTAGGCTTCCCTCCTTCCATGGCAGCCACTGCTAAATTCGTTGTCCCCAAATCAATCCCAACAACCTTTTCATTCACTACACTCAAAGACCTGTAGAATTGAGGTTTATAAAAATGGAGTTTTATAATGCAAAAATGGGTTCTGAAATTGGGTTGTTGCTGCTGCTGATGAAGACGCCATTTTTATCAACTTTCAGGCTGATTTTTGGGCCAAAAGATAAACTTTATTGGTGAATAATTTGAGCAAAATCGAGGGAACAGATTGGTTCTTAATTTTTTTAATTTTTCTCTTCACAGAGAGAAGAGAACATAAGAGATCGATTGTGATGGGGAGGACGATTTGATGGCGAGAGAGGAGAGGAAAGGGTCTACTGGAGAAGAGAGGAAATGTTTTATCTTTTATTTATGCTGTTGGAAATGAAACGGAGGATTTGAGTGATTCCTCCCAATTTACTCAAGAATCATGAATCTCCAAAAGTTTAGGTATGATTCCAATATTTTAATTCCCATTACAGTACACCAGGCACCAAGTATTGGAATCATCGTCATTCCCCATACCAAAACCCTCTAACCAAGCTGCCCCTACTTCTCATCACCCAGTAGTGGATGGAAACGGATTCAGACATTCTGCACTCACTATTGTGATTGCACAGTGCAATGGTATCAATAACTTTGTTGTGTCTATGAATCTTATTGTATTAATGTTTACATCAAATATTGGCATCTACGTCTATTGTACCAGTTTCTACATTGGATCATATACTCGAGAAGTGATTGGTCCACACCTTGTATTATCAAAACCTTTTCTTAGAGGAACCATAGTGAAAACTGCAAGTAAAATGAAATAGGTAGCCTTCAAGTATGAAATGTGCCTAGATTTCTGCTATAACTGTGAAATCATTGGTCATAGTGAGAGAACATGTACCAATCAGCAAGAATTAGCAGGTGGATTTGCAGATAACCAATATGGTCCTTGGCTGAGAGCAGGTACTTTTAAAGGATCCCTACAGAAGGAACAAACAAGGAATGAGATGGACAAAGATAGACGGTACTAGAAATTTCAAAATATGAACTAATTGAAAAAGTTAAACCAAGAAGCCGCTTTGAGAAAAATCAAAGGAACTGAATATGATTCTAGAGAGTGAAAAGACTTATCACCAAGAGCTGGCAAGAGACTTGAACGTGATGTGAATTGAAGCTGAGCAAAATGTTCTTCCTCAAAGTATAAACCACAAAGGAATTCCCCAGGTTCAACAAGAGTATTAGCAAGACCGAGAGGGATTAGTGTCTGAGCAGCTAGAAGCAAACTGCAAAGACGTAGTAAAGACCCAAACTTTGGAGGAAGCTGCTGAGATGGAGGAGGATAGTAATGTAGGAATAAGTACCACTGATAAGCCTAAAACATTGGGAGGTGAACAAGAGGATGGGGTGATGATTCAAGAGACATATAATAATAGTGAGAGGGTTGAATTCTCCCATTAAAGCCAGGCAGCCTTTAAGAGAATTGAATGGCCAAGAGAAAAATCAGACAAGCATGGGAAAGAGGAAAATGACTCTTAGAGATAAGGAAATTGAGGAAGTAGGAACTGAGAATCAAAACTAGAAAAAAGTTGAATCAACAAAGTTGGTGGAAATAAGAGAGCCTTTAAAAGTGGAGGTGTGGTCCTTCCCTGATGGCGCCCCCAAGGACATATGAGACTTGTGGTGTAGAATTGTCAAGATGTGGGGAGCCCCTTGACAATTCCCATTTGAGGGAGGTTAACAACCTTCTCTCTCTAGAATTTATTTTCCTTAGTTAGACTAAGAATAGAAAGAGGTATATATGGACAGAGTAAAAACTGGCTAAGGTTTGATAATAGTGTGGTAACTGAGACTATGAACAGTGTAGGTGGTATGTGTTTATTGTGGAAAGATGAGATCAGAGTTTTGGCAATATTCCAAACAATTTTCACTATTGAAACAAAAATAGAGGGAAGGGAACCACAGGAAGAGTGGTGGTTTATAGGAGTGTATGCAAAGCAAGGCAAATTAATATAAAACATTGGGTTGCTTCCTAATAAACGCTATTGTTTATAATAGTTGGCTCAAATCAAAAGTCATCATTTTTGGAGAATATTTCGGAGGGGATAAAGAACTAATTCCTCCCCAAATGTTAAAACTTCTCTTTCTATCCTCCATTTTTTAGCTTACCCAAACTCCAAACCATCTACATTATCAACAAGAAAATGTTAGCATTATTACAATATATATGAGAATTTTTTAAAAAACAATTCAAACAATCCCAAAGCCTACTTGATTTTTTACT